GTGGTGCTGGCTTGGAGTGTGGCTCCACTGCAGTGGCTATGTTTGGGTGTGTTCTTTCCTCTGTTCACTATTTCTTCCTTTTTGGAATTTACTTGGTTTCTTTTCTTTGACTAGCATAGCGTATCGTCGTGTCATTCGTGTCTATCAGTATGAAGTTGGGGATGATCTATCTGGAAGGTTTTTTCCTCTTATTTTCTTACCTCACTTTGGTTTTCAAATGCACTCTTTAATTCCAAGGCTCGCTTTCCTTCCAACTAACTTTCACGGCTTAGAGGTGCTTGGAGGTTTGTTTCCCTGTTGACTCTTTCCTTTCCACGGTTGGTTCCCAGCTTCCTGCTCAGGGTCCTGGGTGTGCGCTTCATCTCTTTAGATGTGCGTTGAATCTGAGCCTTAACCCTGTGGTGAGAAACACCCAGATGTTTGGTGTGTTTTCATTGCTACAGAGTGATTCAGCACTTGAAATCCCCTTCTCAAGAAGCTCGAAAGTATGTAGGAGGATAGACTTCAGCAGGGATGAAAACCTGGTTTTAGTGACTTAAAATACCAGTGACTTAAGTTTTAGGAACTTAGATACCACAGAGTCAAAGGAGAGGACAGCCCACCTGCTCAGCGCCCAGACTTGCTGTCCATGCACAGGTTGTTCGTTATGAACTCCCACCGTACATGTTGGAAGGACAGAGATTCTTAAACACTGCTGCTTAAGGGTTGCTTAGGATCTTTGGGAGAAAAGCAGCATCCAGAGGCTTTCCGTATCTAGTCCATACGAAGTAGATCTCGGAGACCATCACCACAGTGGTGATCTTTATATGCTGGTGTGGGGGCTGCAGTGTGCCAGCAAGCTCAGTGTGGAAATCGGACTGAGAGGAGCAGCCGTGCCTCAGCTTCTCCGGGCGCAGGATGGGAGAGGTGGGGCAGGAAAGGCAACTCTCCCACCAACCACTGCTGTGGTCACAGTCTGTAGTTTTCTGCAGTGATTGTGCCATATTAAGATTACTTTTAAACCAAACCAGTAGTTTTCAAGGTCTTCCCCCCCCCCCACTTTTATCCCCATGTAGCAAACCTCTGTAGAGCTCCTGTACCTTAGTGGCAAACACACCCATCTCCAGTGAATCACCTGTAGTTGCGTGTGTGTGTGTGTGCTGGGCACAGTGGAGTGGGGTGGGACTGCACTAAGTTTCTAATTTCATTAGGTCCAGTAAAGCGGGCGCTTTGGATCTGGCATGAAGTGTGGCTGCTGACAATGTTGGCTTTCAAATGGGGCTAGAAATTAACTATATAAAGAACTAAGAATCAAACAAGATGCATACTTGTCAGTCTGTATAGGATGAGTCAGAACAAACAAAACACGTAAGCAGTGTTTAAATATCTACAGGAGAATAATACTGCTGTAAGGATTTCTAATTTCAAGGAAGGACTGTTAATTTCAAGCCCCACCTGCCATTTTTTATGGGATAAGTGCTCTTTCTCACTGTGATTCTGTGTTTAGGTCTTGTATGGTGGAGGAATCGGGAACACTGGAATCGCAGTTGGAAGCTACTAAAGTAAGCAATGCTCACCTATTGCTAAACCATCTTTCCCAACTGATGACTTGGGAACTCAGGGTGGGAATGGAAATGCATGCAATTATATGGTAAAATCTTAATTGAATTTCTGCATTTTGAGTACCAAAGAGACCTTTGGGATTATCTATTTACGTGTCTGATGTCTACTTATATCACAAGCCATTAAACAACACTCTGATATAGTTTTCCTTTTTGTTCTTTTTTTCTAAATGAACGGGGTAGGGCAGAGAGTATACAGTATTTTCAGCACATTTCCTAATAAGAGGGGTTTTTTTGTCTCAAGAACTGGTTTGCAAGCCCTGTTGGTTTCCAGTAGTGTGCATGAAGAGGAATGTTGTGTTGAATACTATTTTACAAATCCCAGCAGAAAAAGAAGAGTACAACCCTTCCTCCCCTGCCAGCCTGTGTTCTTTTTAATGGATTTTTTGTGTGCTCCTTGATTTTCTCCTCTTTGCTCCCTTCTAACAGCGCAAGCACCAGGAGATCCGAGCTATGAGGAGCCAGCTGAAGAAGATTGAGGACCTTGGAGCAGCCATGGAAGAGGCACTTATCTTGGACAACAAATACACAGAACACAGCACCGTGGGGCTGGCACAGCAGTGGGACCAGCTTGACCAGCTGGGGATGAGAATGCAGCACAATCTGGAACAGCAGATCCAAGCTCGGTATTGCCTACCCCATGCGCAGTGTAACACGAGTCTAACTTGCGGGGGATAAAAGGCAGGAGACCCATCTGCCTGTGTCTAAAAACAAACCTTGCATGATCTGTGCTAACGAGTCTCTCAAGTGGTTTGACTAATGGGTGTAGTGAGCTTGTAAATCCCACCACCTCCTGGCTCTTCAGAGGGATGAAGTTAGCAGTTTTGGAAACAGTTCCTGTTGGCCATTAGCATTGACAAGATCTTAGAGGAACTGATTTATTCTGTTGAGCTGTGGTGATGTAATGTACGGTTTGCTCATTTGTCCTCACCTGATGTAGTCGCTGGCTTGGGGCAGATGGACTCCAGCAGTTTAGGAACTGTTCACGAGCTTTGCTGCTTCTTTTTCAGAAACACGACTGGAGTCACTGAGGAGGCTCTGAAGGAGTTCAGCATGATGTTCAAGTGAGTCACAGGGAAAGCATGCCAGGGGAATGCTTGTGAGATATTTCTGGCACGTGGATGGCTCCTGTTCACAGGATTCCCTGACCGATCTGTTTGTAGCTCCTTTATTTTCTGCCCAATTTTGTGCGGAGCTGCTCTGATCTCTGCCAGATGGCGAGAGCCTCCAGAGACACCTGCTGCTGGCTGGGTGCAGCCACAGCTGCGCGAGAGCCTCTCCTGGGCACGCTCGCTTGTAGGCACAGTGCGGTGGGAACTGGGAGTGCCAATGAATTCCAGCTAGAATATAGCCATTTTTTGGATGCTTTTTAAGCCAAGTAAAGAATTTGTGCTTACTTTTAATGTATGTTAGATAGAACTATTTATTTATTCAAGGTCATTTGTCCAGACTAGTGGGCTAGTTATAATCTGGTTTAGTTTTCAGCCCACTTTATAGCTTTCAGTACTCAACAACTGACACTTAAAAATGTGGGCTTTGTTTTTATGTGTTTAGGCACTTTGACAAGGACAAATCTGGACGACTTAATCACCAGGAGTTCAAGTCTTGCTTGCGCTCTCTCGGCTATGACCTGCCTATGGTTGAGGAAGGAGATCCAGACCCAGAGTTTGAGTCTATTCTTGACACTGTAGATCCCAATAGGTACGGAGGTTGGACCTTTTTATATTGCAAAATATTGTGTGGGTATCCTTTGGGGAGTCAGCTGGAAGGTCTCTCACAGGCTGAGAGCTGTGCTTGCTTCTGTTGTGGCGATGTTATGGTGGTTTTCACAACAATTCATGTAAAAGAGTCTTTATGAAGGTAAGACTGACGTTCGTGAAGAAGAACTTCACTTTAGAAAATGGTCTGGTGTTGACAGCTTCCTGAGTTAAAACTTTCACTCCTCCCAGAAAAATTAAAGGGTATGGAAGCGCTGTGCTCTGGGTATTAATGGACAGCGGTGTTCACACGCTGTGTTTCACCGGCAGGGATGGACACGTCTCGCTGCAGGAGTATATGGCATTTATGATCAGCAGGGAAACGGAGAATGTGAAATCCAGCGAGGAGATCGAGAGTGCTTTCCGCGCCCTCAGCTCAGAGGGGAAGCCCTACGTGACCAAGGAGGAGCTCTACCAGGTGAGTACTGGTTGCGGCCCACCAGGGAGGTGGATGGAGACTTTTTCTTATAGACTGTTACAAAGACCAGCACTGGTTGCTTGGAGGTTCACGTCACTGTAGCTGAGTCAGTTCTGAACCTGCAGAGGTATCCACTGCAGCAAACACAGAAATGATGGTAACAGCCCTTCCCCGTTGCTTTCTTGGCTCTATAGAGGAAGAGGAAAAGCTGTAACTGCCAAAGAACTGCTCAGGTTGAGTAAAACAAGAGCTGCTCAAAGGCCTGGGAAGGGGGTGCATTCACTGTGTCTGTCCTCGGAAACTCACGCTTTCCTTTAATCGGTTGGGAGACTAGAGGGAGATGTTTCTCCAGACAGCGATTCAAAGGAGAAACGTAAGGCTAAGCTTTGGCAGTATGAACGCCTCCTATCTCTCACGGCCCTGCCAAGACAGCAAGTTTTTCCTGTCTGAATCCCACCAGCTGGCAGAGAATTAAAGAGGTTGCACCGCTTCCTCGTATCAGTTACCTGTTCTGTCTTCTCTTTGGTGGGAAGACTCAGGTCAGACCTTCCAAGCCTTAACCAAATAGTGCGAACAGCCAGAGCATTTCCATGCCAGGCGTAGTTCTGCTGCTCTGGCTTCTGCTCCGAGCTGTGTGCCCCTGGGAATGGGAGGGCTGCTTGTAAATGCCCCATCCGCAGCCTCAAAGTGCCCGCCTCCACCTCCGTGCTGTCTTTGTCTTTCAGAACCTGACCCGGGAACAAGCCGATTACTGCATTTCTCACATGAAGCCCTACATGGACGGCAAGGGCAGAGAACTTCCTTCTGCCTACGACTACATAGAATTTACACGTTCACTCTTTGTGAATTGATCTAAAACACTAGTACCAAAAGATGCAAAGAACATGCTCACGTTTGCTGACTATAGCTCTGCATGTGTCTCTCTCTCTCTCTTTGTGCTCTACAATAATCAGTGTTACTTCATGATGTAACCTTAAACTGCTTAGCTTAAAACTCTTAGGGAAAACAAACATTGCAGTGTGCTTCAATAAAAGTTACTGGTCGAACCACATCATCTTATGTTTAATGGCTAAATGCAAATTTAATTGTCACGTGGATGGGATGAAACGCCAGCTGTCATGGTTATGGGTGTTTTACGGGCCAGCACTGTGGAAGAGGTGAGCGGGCAACTTTTCCTGGAGTCAGAGCAGTAGCAAGCTTCACACAGCTGGTTGTGTTGCTGCCTTAGTCCGTGATCTCGTTTGCCAGCTGCTCCAGATGATTCATTTCCCTGGGTCCCTGCTCAGTGAAGTCAGAACTCAGCTGCCAGACTTTGACTGTACCGGTAGCATCCCCTGCTGCCAATAGCCGAGTTTGCTTGATGTTAAATTCTAAACAGTACACAGGGCATTCGCCCACGGCCTGCTTCATGGAAATGGCAGGCTTCTGCGAGCTCTTCTCAAAGTCAAACAGGTGCACATCCCCTATAAAGCAGAAACATTTGTTGCAGCTTTATGGTGACGGACTTCGTATTTAACAGCAGAGGAGTATCTGTAAAGAGTTTTTAACCTGTTTCCCCTTCCCTCTGATGGTGTCTAGGCTGTGACAGATAGCTGACATCGCTGCAAGACAGTGCAGATTTATTCTGCTGTCAGAGACCTGAAACCAGCTTGCCAAATTCTGTGAAGTCTCCAATCCTTAACTCAAAAATGTATGGGTAGTTTTTTAATGAAAAAGTTCTTGTTTTAAACCACTAGCTCTAAGAAATAAATGGCGGCAACAAGGAAGCTGGAAATATATTTTAGCCACAGTAATCTTGCCATGCTATAGCCCTGTGACTGGCTATGGCAACAGAAGGTACAATCAAAAGTGGAAAATAACTGTGACTGAAGCCGTCTTGCTAGAGTTAGAAATGACTCCGTTATACTAATTGCACAGTACAAACAATGGTCATTGCTCTCTGCTTGTGGGAAATGCTAATCGGTACAACTGACTTGTTCTAATTAATACCCAGCACAATCTTAATTTTATGTCTGTGCATAGGCACCTGCAGTTACTTGCCTTCCCCAGACACAGCTGCAAAGACCAGTGGTCGAACTGGAGACCAGCGTACACAGAAGAGGTATTTCTTTGATAATTGAAGAGAAATGAGGGGTTGTGTCTGCAACATGGAGTGCAAGTGAACTTGTCCATCAGTCCCACAGCTCAGAAAGAGGTTCCTGCGGGAAGGAGGAAGCAAGAAACACTTTTTTGACTTTATTGCTAAAGATACAGAACAAAAATCATTCAAGGGGCACAATCTTGGCCAATATTACCGCTTTGCAAGGGTCTGACTGTGTTTCCTAAAGCAGCAATTGCCAAGCTGCACCCTGGGCTGTGGTCTGTAGAGACAGGGCTTTGTTACTGCCCTCAATTAAACTTCATGAGGGCTCGTGCTGCCCACTGAGTATTGACGGTGGGTTGTGGGCCAGAGATGCCTGAGAACTGCTGACCTAGAGCCGGGCATTGTTAGGGTTGTGTTTGTCTCATGCAAATTAAATGCAAACCTGGGCTGTCAGCACGTTTCATAGAAACACGGCTTGGGGCCTCTTCCATGGGTGGTGGGTAAATGCAGGCAGAGATGTGAGCTTCTAATTTACAGTCAGTAAGATTTCTGATGGGCAGATCACTTAAACACTGATAAATAAATTACTTTTACAGCTCCTCCCCTTGTCTGTAAATTGCTCTTTAATATTAATGTCTAGGATGATCTAAAGAAGGTGCTAATGTTCTATGCTGGCCTGAGTGTACAAATGCTATTTTGTGTCGCTCATGTTGCGCCCACACGCAGCATATTTGAGTGGGCAGCTTCACCAGCGCCAGTGGACATTGTTTCTCCTACGACAGGAAGTTACTTGATCAAGTTCCCAATGCCAGGTGACCCTTTTTTTGGAACTTGTACATCCCCACACCGCCCCCCCCCCCACGCCCGGGGGGCTACTTGAAAAATGCATGTGTAGAGCCAGGCAGTAGTTTGTGTCCAACACGCAGCAGGGGTATTAATTCACGGCACTTGCCTGTGGAAGGGCGAGCAGCTCACGGAGTACACCGGCCCACCGTGCGGGGAGAAGGCAAGCTCCGCTGGTGCCCTGAGGGGAACCGAACTGCCTGGCTGATGGAGCGCCAGCTTCTCTGCTGCAGTGGAGCACTTCACGGAATAGCCACCTTCCACGCCGACAACAAACACGCGGGGATCGAAGTGTGAAAAGGAGAGTGAGGTCACACCCACAGCTGCCTCTCCCCAGGCGAACTGGGAGAAAAAGACAAAAGCTGGGGGCTCTGGTGAAACGCACGTGCAGTTAGAGCAGCGTGAGCAGCCTGCCAGGGACCCAGCGACCTGCTCACTGCACAACTTGCACCAGCTACAATGTTTGTAGCACTGTTTAGTCTTTAACCTCTGCAGCACCCTCCTACAAGGAGATTCATGTGAATTCATATTATTAAAAGCAAGGTCTCTTCACCATCCCAGCAGCTTCTCTTTAGAGCTATGGCAAAACCTCGGCTGTTGCCAGTCTTCAAGGAGTGAGTTCAGTATGGGAAAGGAGATGGGGATCAAGGCTTAGTACGTGTGTTCAAAACAGGCGTTTTCCTGGCCCTTCTCATGTGGAAGGCGAGCTCTGCCACATGGGCTCCAGAGTTAAGAGTGGTTTTTGTCAGATCAGCCCTCTTTGTACTGCTGAACTCACCTTCTTCAGCTGAGCGCTGCGAGGGATCTGCTGAGCCACCAAGGCGAATCCTTCGGCCAAGGCCAGCCGCCCATCTTGCTCCTCCTTCCACACCAGGATCTTTCCATCCGTTGACACGCTCAACAGCCGGGCGTGGTTTCTGCGCTTGGCGTCGGGTAACCAGTTAACCTGTTCCAAGTGCCGTGAGCTCATGAGGAGGGTGACTGCCACGACTGCCAAGCCCATGCTCAGCAGCCAGCGGTCCCCTGACCCGCCAAGACAACGCGGGAGCAGAGCCAGGCAGCAGCCAGTGATCTTGGTATGAAACCCGCTCCTGCTGGGAGCTGGCACACAGAAATGCATTCAGGTGGTCAGGGCTGACTTCTGTATTGCAGTTTCTATGGTTTGCCTGCCATTGCTTTTGAGACATGGTATTTATAGCTCTTTCACCCAGCTATAAACAGCAGCGGTTTCCTGACTTTCAGATGAGAAAATACACAGTCTGTCCAGAGTACAGTACCCCAGAAGGACAAAAACCACTAGGAAGCCAGACTGCATGACAAGTTGTGACCCTTCATGTAGCTTTAACCTTCCAACTAAGGATCTTGCTTTCGTTTTCAAACCACTATAAGTATTGTTGGCTGCATCAATAAACAGTTACAGCATGGGAACAGGCCTACTCTTCATTTATCCTGAGCAGAGAGAAGTTATTTTTACTTGCAAGTGTCCAGCTCAGCAGCTAGATTTGGGGAAAAATAGCCAACCAAAAGAGAACATAACCACTGAAACATAGCAGCCTGTCTGAGAGCTTCAGGGAAAGCACCAGTAAGGTGAATACGAGCTGAAAGTATGAAATAGAACAATGGCAACTCTTGCCTCCCCGGGCTGCATGTACCGTAGATGTTCTCTGTTACCTGATAGACTGGATCAGTGTGAGTGTCATCTGTCATCCCCGTCCTCCAGATCACGGGGTCTTCTGTTCTGCTGGTATCCCACACCACCAGCTCCCCACTGAACAGGCCACCTGAAAGGACAAAGATACCAATAAGAACGTTTAAGGGCTAACAGCGCACAAACACGAGTAATGCAGGAGGCAGTTTGCGCTGTTACTGCGACAGAACAGGGGGGAACTGTTCTTATTGCCAATGAGTATGACCAGAGCTCTGGGAAGGGCAGTCCTCAGCAGAAAGAATGACAACTG